GTCTCTAATTTCAAGTGATTTACTGCCGACACACAGGCAGAGCACCCCCATACCCACCAATCCGTATTATTTGACCAGTGGGTACGCGTGAAACCCACATAATTTGTTTTTTGGGGAGGGGGGGGGTGGGGTGAAGGCGGGAACGAGATACTTTACACCCCGTGTTATTCAACGTACAAAACGTCACGTGCGCACGCAGGGGGGAGAAAACAGCAAACACGATAGGCGCGTCTAAAATAAAACTTTCTGCACTAGAAGGCACCGGCACACCCACAGGGACGATTTGCCAGCGTTCACGCAGCGCGCGGACGAGTTTTGTGACACATACGAGCGTGAGCAAAAACCCAGAATGCGCGCGGCGCGGCAGCTGGTGTGCAGCACACACATCTCGCGCACACACGTCTACCTGTGCACACGTCTACGCGCACAGACACTCGTAATCACACCTTCCTTTCGCACAGAGTCCCCCGAGCACCCTGGTAACCGATCCCGCTGCTCCGCCGCTCGTTTCCGTTGTCGTGTGAGGCAGGACGAGCGTGTGACACTGACGTAGGCACGCGACGGTCACGGGACTGTCATGGGGCGGGACTGTCGGAAAATATGGAGGCATTTTCAGCCAGAGAGCTTTTCGGGCATTTTCTCGACACCACGTGCTCCGATTGACCTCGGGTTTTTTGCGTTCGGTTCGTATGACCACGGTGCGTGCTGTGAGCGCCGCTGGCGGCGTGTGATGCTGTTCTGCGCGGCAAAGAAATGCCCAACCCGAGTTCGATGCCCACTTCAATGATTTTTGAATAAATTGGCACTGACAGCAGTAAAAGAGCAATAAAATGTCGCCAAATGATCCGTTTGACCAACTTTTTTTTTCAAGACTGCTGTACGGGTCATGTGCGTGCGCCTGCGAAGTTTGGTGAGTATACGTGCAGGTGGCGATGAGTTACATACGATAGAAACTAGACTTCGGGGCGGGTATTCCCAAATTCTTCCTCAGAAACGGTTGACACGCTTGCGCAGCTGCACCGAACCAGTGTTTCGTACTTCTGCTTCATAACAGCGGCCACGAGATAGCTAACAGGGGTGTTGCGGCGCGACACACCTCATCCTACCGACACCAGTGAGCCGGTGGTTTCTGGGCAGGAACTTGTGTTGCCAACACAAGGGCTGTCCGACACACGCCCTTCTTGAGCACAATTTTCCCGAACGCAAAACAACGTTGCACATTATCGCCGGAGGAAACATCAACCTCAGCAACTAACTTCACCTCGGCGTCTCTGATCGCCGTACGGCGCTCAGCGACCACGCCGGGGGCGACGACATGCCCGGTGTATATCTCGGGGGGTGTTTCCAAGTATTGCAACTGATTGCTTCGGAGCCTCACTCTTCTTGCGGCTTTATGCACAGTGTTTTCGGGCGGTCCTGGGAGTGGTGGGAACTCCTCTAAGTTTTTTCTTGCTTGTTCCCTGAGCTGTGTGTAGCCTCTTGTTCACCATTTCCGCAGTGTTGACCGAGTTCTCGTTCAACAAAGGAAGGTCCATTGTTTTCGCGTGATCCATCAATAATAACATCCAATTCCAGAGTCTCGACATGTGCGATCCCACGTAGTTGTTACCCTGGTGGACGTTGAGTCCGTTGTACCCGTCAATTTCTCGGAGGGCCTCGACGATCAAATCACCCATCAGCCTAGGCTTTCCCATGCCGAAACGCATACAGAACGCTTACCAGACAGAGATCTACAAGTATTGCGCCGACGTGGAAATCATGTCTCCTTCCATTGAGGTTCTCTCGAAGGACTTTGTGAGCAACGTCTAGCTCTTAGTTGGCGTCGGTGCCTGGATTTTCGTTCAGCATGTGATCAAGAGCGTCGACACCAGGCTTGGTTTGTTTTTGATTTTGTCAAAGTGTACCGGAGCGTGCGGTCGTTGCCTGGCACACTTTGCTCTCTGGGGAATGAAAAGTAGCGCCAGGTGCAGGGATGCCTCTGGAAAGATGATACGAGCTCTTGTCGACAGAAAACACGATTGGCGGCTTTGAATATCCCACAGCGCGCTCGGCCCTTTGTCCAATCCCCCAAGCAAATCTTCACGCGACACGTGATCAATCGCCGCCTATCTAAATGTACGCGCTGGATCTCAATCAACCATGTGCACGCGCTCGCATCAACAGGAAACTGGTCCCTCCAATCACCAACGGCGATAAGCGAGACTGCAACAACCTTGACGCACGCGCGAAAGGCGAGACTGCAACACGAGGCACTTCGGCAAATCCCTGCCGACTCAACCAAAAACGCCCCTCGTTGTTGACATTTAATGGCGAGGGAGCCGTGAGGTGGAAAGTGGCGACTTTCTTGCGGCGGCGTTTGTTGTGGCGATAGATGAAGACGATTGATATCTTGGCTCTTCTTATCGTTGCTGAGTACCAAACCAAACACACACCGACATATCTGTGTGACGAGCGTAGGAGAACGCTTTCGTTTCCCGCCTTGCCGCTAAATTTGTGATTTTGGGCAGGAGGGTGTCATGATGAGGATCTAGGGCAGGATTTTGGCTACGATAGTACAACAGAACAGGAAGCTGTGAGGTCAAGAACAGAAGCCAGGTACCGGGAACGATGAGCTGATGGATCCAGCGTGCTCTCCATTCGTTCATACTCAGACCACGGACTTCACACGCGCCGCCGGCCACAGCATGGACGCTCTTATTCAGGAGCAAACGTGCATAAAAGCACGCGCGTTTGTGGGAGACAGCAGCAGCAGCAGCAGCAGCAGCAGCAGCAGCACGTCGGCTGCATTACAACCAAAAATACAAGCACACGTGCCCGATACTCAGACCGGACCTCACAAGCGCCGCCGGCCACAGCAGATACTACATGGACGTTCTTATCCAGGAGCATGCATAAAAGCACGTGTGTGTGTTGTGCGAGACAGCAGCAGCAGCACGTCGGCTACACCACAAACCAAACACAAGCACACGTGCCCGATAAAACGTCACACACCGATGAAAGAGCCGTTAGGCACCAGTGGACAGTCGTCTCCATTTCGAGACACGTGCGTGGCAAACAGGCGCCCGGAGCCAGCAAGAAGCAAGCAACCAGCTAGACAACCAAACTCTCATTCCACTTTTCACTTCGGTCTCTGCAGCCCGCGCCATCTCTACCTGTTGTGTTTCCTGTGTTTCTGTTGGGTGTGTGGCGGGGCTGATCAACTCCCTACCCCGTGTTCGCGAAGAAAAAGTGTTCATCTCCCTACTTTCCTCACCTGTACATTCGGTGGCCCAAGCGGGACCGAGGCGGGTTTTACCAGAAATTTGTTGGGCTGGCGGTCGCCGTGGGCGTTAGCATCCAACCCTACACATCTCCAGCGAGCGGCTCTCGTCCGAGTTCCGCCGCCTCTCCCTCCCCGGAACCCAAACACCATACGACCATCACCTTCCCTCACCGGCCCCGTGTCTATGACTCCTACATTATATCGAAGTCCTCCTCGGTTCCTTACATCACACGATGATGACTCGTGTTGAGGGAGATGTCTACGTTTGTATTCGTGTGGTTCGGGATGGGGGCGAAACGAAACCTGATTTGGACCAAAACGGCCGACGAAGTAAATGCTCCGGAAGAACGGTGTTTGTTCAGAAGTTGAGGCCAGCGTGGATTAGCCCTCCGCCACCACTTTCGCTTCTCTGTCCTCAGGAGCCCTTCTGGGAAGATATACGCACACTTCTCTTTGCCGTTGCTCTACCCGTGGGAGTAGCGCTGGCGTATGTCGTCTGTTATGCGTCACACGGTCCACTACGTGGACGGATACAATGGTGAGGGCCATGGTTATGCGTGGAGTATGTCGGAAACCAAGCGAAGGTCGAACACTTGCGGGCTGTGTCTTGACCCAGACTGTGAGCATCCTGAACATAGCAAGACTTTCTCGGATGGGATTTGGTATGTCGATCTTGGTACGACAACAAGGTTTGCCGATGTGAAGGGTCGTACGTCAACGAATAGGCCGGGGCACAAAACAAGACGAAATGTTGTTACATTATTAGCGAATGTTGTTACAGTAGCGTTCGTAAACATGTGTGCTGTGGTCCACCTCGGAGACGTCACCCCTCACGAAATGGACAACGCTCCCGCATTTCTCGTGTTCGACAGAAAGCATATCCACCGCGTCGTAGATGAGTTGCATGGAAGTAACTCAATCTACGCCGACCGGTACGATCCAGCCTTTGTTTTCAGCCAAAACTTTCCAGTTCGTGCCCAATGGTGTAAGAAGCCACGAAGTTCTCAGTCGACTCTGTTTCATCGATGGCTGCTTGGTTTGACAGGCTCGCCCAACGAGCACAAGTTTGAGTACGTCGAGCACCTGAACGACATTGCCCTAGACTGTCGCGAGAGTAATTTAAGAACTTCCACCACGTCGCACGGTAACAATCTGCACATGAACAGGTTGAAGCGGTCTTATTGGGTCGGGGGCGTAGCTGGCGCGGCACGCAAAGCGGAGGAAATAAATCGATCTCAGGAACCCTACTGGAATATCGTGCGTCTTTTGCCCCCGCTGCCTGATTTTGTGTTCGCGTTCAAGCGTTTCAAACGGCCGCGAGAATTGCCACGCACACTGGAGCAACCTGCAGGATGCTCAACGAGCGAGCAGTAACTACTTGTTGAGCTAATGGCGGGTCATGAAGGCACGAACTGAAGCGTAGGTACAAGTACTAGCCATTTTTTTAATGAGTGTAGGTGGTTTTGTGGCTGTTAGATGAAGCACATGCTCGCGCTCGAAGCGTTGAAACTACATGGCTGGAATTTTGGCGCAAGTAATTCTTGATTGAGAAGGTTGCACCAGGGCGGAGGCTGCTCCCCGGTGTCTCGACAACCTAGGAAACGCCCTCGCAAGCACTCGACGACGAATCTTTGCCGTACAGCTTGCCACTTGGAGGGATCCCAGAACTTTCAGAAAAATCCGCGGAACGGTCCACGGAACGGGCAAAGCAGAAGGAAAAATCTTCTTGTCGCACAATATATACCGCGATACAACGCCAACGCTTTCTGGACTATCGCAAACTGCTTGTGGTTTGCTGCTCCGCCACGCTTACGAAACTTGAGCCGCCACTGAGCGCTCCATGATGAAATCTTACCATGAATCGGATTCATTTGGTGCTATGTGCATCTGGATACATGGTAAACATGTGGTTTCAATTCAAAGCATTTTTACGTCGTGACTAGGAGACATATCGCCCACGCATTTCAAGAAAAGGCCGATGGAAATACAATGGAGAACCAATGACCAATCGCTGTACCAGCATCAGCCAAAGCGCGACCACCACCAATCAATACCGAACAACCATAAAACAATGGTACATCTACGTCCTGTAGCACAGGAGCTTGCCCCTGTTTTTCGTCGAGTTTGTGAAGTGAGCACTGTCACAGGCAGCGCCCTTCGATCTGGTGCTCACTCTGCCCGTCACAACACGAAACGAAACGAAGCATTTTCTTGGGTGCCAGGCTTCCTCGAGGTGCAGTGTACCCTCGCGACTAGTTAGTCTCTTCACGAATCACGAACATGTTTTCGAACACGCTCAAGCGTGATCTGAGTGTCGACTGTGTAATGGTGACCCTCCCCCAGCCTCTTCCTTCGGATGGAGGATGCCCTCTCTAGAAGTGGAATCGCCTCGTTGTGCTTGCCCTGAGGACATTTGAGATCCGAGGTTGCGAATTTAATCCAATGCGCAACACCATATGTAATACGGAGTATGTAAAACGAGACTTGACGCAAAAGATTAAATTACCGATTCGTTCACCCGGTAGACAAAAGCAGCAATGCGATGGAACAGCGGAGTAGTTGAGCGAGACTGCGCAACAAAGCTCATAGACACGTAAGAATCGACTTGGTAAGGGTCATCACGAACAGATTATGTAAAAGGTGGTGACATTTATGGGAAATTCCCAAGATTTATTACTGGAAAAATCTCACGGCTCGTACCTGACTCTCTAACAACCACGCCCGGTTGTGGAGCGACTGTGCCACATCCGGGTGCTCTGGACCCAAAGCCCTTTCTCGAATGGCCAGCGATCGTGCGTACAGCAGACCCGCCTCCCCGTGCTTGCCCTATGACGAGACGGTGGGATGCGCGGGGCATTGGTACCCGGCCACTGCGATGCGACTCACCGAATCAAGCAGAACCTTTGAATTTCGACTTGTACCGTTCAACCCTCACCTGAGCCCTTGCTAACTCCGCCAGGTTGTTGAGCGATTGGGCCACATCTGGATGCTCAGGACCTTGGGCATTCTCTCGTATGGCCAGGGACCGCTCGTACAACGGACCTGCCTTACCGTAATCCCCCTGTGAAAAATACAGCGAATTGTGTCAGGTAGTGATATCCTGCGAATGTGACTAAAATCACGAACTGAAAAGTGTTTCGTGAGAAAGGTCTGCATGTATTATTGGAATCTCACCGGAGCCCTTGATATCTCCGCCAGGTTGTTGAGCGATTGAGCCACATCCGGGTGTTCCGGGCCAAGCGTCTTTTCTAGAATGACCAGAGACCGTTCGCACAACGGACCCGCCTCCATGTAGTTGCCCTGCAAGAAAAGAGTGGTACCTGTGAGGTAGTGGTCGACCAAGGATGAAAACAGTCGCCCTACGGAGGCCCGGTTGTTGAGCACCTATAGAACACCACAACAATCCTCTGACTCTTCGACAACGCCACCGGGGTTTTGGCGCAACAACCACAAGATTCCTGGAAAGCTCTGACCGCTCCTACCTGAAGCCTCAACAACTCCGCCCTGTCGTTGAGTCGGGTGGCAAGAGCTGGATGGTCAGGGCCCAGCGTCTTCTCCCCAATCTCAATAGCTCGCAGATAGAGAGGGTCGGCTTCGTCGTACTTGCCCTGTGTAGGAAGCAGTGGGGTGGTGTAAGCGACAGGGCGAAAGAGAACCAAACTCTCAAAACAAGTGGGAACCCTACGAAATATCTTGGGAAATTCTCACGGCTCTCACCTGGCTCTGCAACAACCGCGCCCGGTTGTTGAGCACGGTGGCAACTGTTGGGTGGTCAGCACCTAGCGCTTTCTCCCAGATCGCGGTAGCCCGCCCATACAGCGGCTCGGCCTCAACATACTTCCCCTGGAATGGAGTCGACAGCGTGACAGCGTATTGTGTTTCAGTACAAGGGTTCTAGACCTGTGGAGGGACATGGTTTTTCTAGATGCTTCTAGAAGTACCGCTCGACTCTCACCTGCCTCTCCAACAACCCCGCCCGGTTGTTGAGCGTTGTAGCAAGATCTGGGTGGTCAGGGCCTAACGTCTTCTCCAATAGCTCGCAGATAGAGAGGGTCGGCTTCGTCGTACTTGCCCTGTGTAGGAAGCAGTGGGGTGGTGTAAGCGACTGGGCGAGAGAGAACCAGACTCTCACAACAAATTTGAACCCTACGAAAATTCCTAGATTTGTTTTATGGCTCTCACCTGACTCTCCAACAACCACGCCCAGTTGTTGAGTTCTGTCGCGACCTCCGGATGATCAGGACCGTACACTTTCTCGTCGATAGCCAGCGAGCGCTTGTACAGAGGCTCGGCCTCCTCATACTTTCCCTGGAATGCAGTCGGCAGGGTGACAAGGACATGTTTTGATAAAAGTCGCGTCCAGAAGTGCGGAGGAGCATTTCCTTCTAGATGCTTCTAGAAAGGTCGACTGGTTCTCACCTGCTCTTTCAACAACCCCGCCCGGTTGTTGAGCGCTGAAGCGACATCCGGATGGTCACGTCCTTGAACACGCTCACGAGCGCTCACAACCTCCTCCAACAGAGGAGAAGCCTTGTCCAGGAAACCCTGCTTCTGGTACAAGTCCGCCATCCACGCACGAGACGTGATCGTGCTCGGGTGGTCCACCCCCAGAGCACGTTCTCTGATGGCTAGGGCTCTTTCGAACAAGGGCTGTGCCTCAGCGTACTTGCCCTGTAAAAAACGTTGTAGAGAAGTTTACGCATTGCAATGTGACGAGGCAAATTTCGGCGGCACCGTAGCAACATTATGCAAAACTGCCATCGTGACACGATTAAACGGAGGAACATAAAAGCCGGCTTCTAGATCATTGACACCCATGTATTGTTATAGAACCACACAAAGAAGGTCTAGAGGCATCTGGAAGCGTCTAGAAATATCAAAAGCTTAACGGAGCATCTAGAAGCATCTTCTAGACATAAGCGTCGCTTGGCTCTCCTCACCTGGGCGTTCAACAACCCCGCCCGGTTGTTGAGCGCTGTTGCCACCGCAGGATGATCAGGCCCGTATACTTTCTCGCGAATGGCAAGGGAACGTTCATATAGCGGCCTGGCTTCGTCGTACTTGCCCTGAAACATGAAGGGAAGGCACGACAGGAAGAAGTGTTCTCGAAGCTAGTAGATATTTCAATGCGGAGGAGCGAAGGCTCAACAACCGGTTGTTGTTGAAGGCGCAGGTGAGAGCCATCAGAAAATTCCAGTAAGTTTCTTGTGGTACCCAATAGATTTCGGGAGTGCTCAACAACAGGGCGGCCGGTTGTTGAGAGAGCAGGTGAGAACCAGTCGACCTTTCTAGAAGCATCTGGAAGGAAATGTTCCTCCGCACTTCTAAACACGACTTGTATCAAAACACGACCCTGTCACGCTGCCGAATGCATTCCAGGGGAAGTATGAGGAGGCCGAGCCTCTGTACAAGCGCTCCCTAGCTATCGATGAGAAAGTGTACGGTCCTAATCACCCGGAGGTCGCTACGGACCTCAACAACTGCGCGCCCGGTTGTTGAGCACGGTGGCAACTGTTGGGTGGTCAGCACCTAGCGCTTTCTCCCAGATCGCGGTAGCCCGCCCATACAGCGGCTCGGCCTCAACATACTTCCCCTGGAATGGAGTCGACAGCGTGACAGCGTATTGTGTTTCAGTACAAGGGTTCTAGACCTGTGGAGGGACATGGTTTTTCTAGATGCTTCTAGAAGTACCGCTCGACTCTCACCTGCCTCTCCAACAACCCCGCCCGGTTGTTGAGCGCTGTTGCCACCAATGGGTGCTCGGGACCTAACGCCCTCTCCCAAATCTCAGTGGCCCGCGCATATAGAGGTTCAGCTTCCGCGTACTCGCCCTGGATGTACGTGGGCAGGGTCACAAAGTCGTCTTTCAATTGTCAAGCTGAAATAAGAACAGCGGAGGAACAAATGCTCAACAACCCCGCCCGCCCTGTTGTTGAGCGACTGAGCCACATCAGGGTGCTCCGGACCAAGCACTTTCTCTCGTATTGCCTGTGACCGCTCACAAAGCGGCTCGGCTTCCTTGTACTTCCCCTGAAATACAGCCGACAGCGTGTCAAGGTGTAATTTAGTAGAGGTCGGATCTAGAACTGCGGACGAACATTCTTTTCTAGAACCATCTAGAAGGATCGTTTGGCTCTCACCTGGCTCTCCAACAACCCCTCCCCGCCCGGTTGTTGAGCGCTACAACATCGACAGAAAACCACAAGAAATTTCTCGATAAATTCTGATGGCTCTCACCTGATTCTTCAACAGCTCCCTGTTGTTGAGCACACCCGAAATCTATCGGGTACCACAATAAATTTGCTATAATTCTCTGACGGCTCTCACCTGACTCTCCAACAACAGCGCCCTGTTGTTGAGCGACTGAGCAACATCCGGATGCTCCGGACCTAGCACCTTCTCTCGGATGGCCTGTGACCGCTCATACAGCGGTTCAGCGTCGTCGTAGTTGCCCTGCATAGCCAGCAGTGGGAGATTTGAGAGAGCAGCTCTGCAAAAACTAAACACATTCATCGACAAATGCAGACCCTACGAAAATTCCTAGAAAGTTCTGGTGGCTCTCACCTGCGCTCTCAACAACTGCGCCCGGTTGATGAGCGACATAGCCACATCCAAATGCTCCGGACCCAAGATCTGCTCTTGTATAGCCTGTGCCCTCTCATAAGAGTGTTTCGCCCTCGATGAACTTGCCCTATGCGAACAGCAGTGCGTCGTTATACGGCAGTGGTTCACGCAGAATGCAATAACAACAAACAAGACCATACGTAGACTCTTACCAGAGCTCCTGGGACCAACGACAGCCACCTGCTACCTAGAGGACGCCCGTGTACTGAATGCGCTCATTCTTTGCCAAGCGTACGCAAGTCCCCTCACCGAGATGAAAGCTCTCGCGAACACATTCCCTATCCAGAGCTGCGAACAAGTGTGTCATGGAACGCCTCAAAAATGCAACTGTTTACCAGGCCGAGTGAGTAGAAACCCGCAGTGGTACTGCGCCATCACACCATCCTAAGCACAACGAACGCGGAACGGCAGTGCAGAATCCTCAACAACAATATGTGCCGTACCTGAATGCTGAACAAAAAACCGACAGACGAGTAGGAACTAGCCACCACCGTAGTCGCCTCGCAAGACTCCAACGCCGCGAGGCTGGTGCTGTACGAGGGAACTTCTAGTTTCGGGTCTCCAGAGAGCTGCTCCACCGAGCGCCAGAGGGCGTCCAAAACGAACAAGCCTTGGTTGCCAGCACCATGCTCTGGGTGTTCGTAACTCTTCAGCACGTTAAGCCTTCCGAGGAACTGCGCCTGAAGCGCGGCAATCTTTTTCGCCATTTCCATGTCTGCCTTAATCTTGATTTTCACGAAGTCCAGGACAAGGTCATGCACGCGGTACCCACCACCACCAACATCTTGTAGTAGGCACTTGCTCACCAGACCCTCAGCATCCTCGCGCGTCCCCCCCGTATCCTGAACGTTTATCACCGGGGAAAGAATGCACCAAGGGCAAAACGCAGCAAACGCTACCAAGAGTAAAAAAAAACACGTCCAACTTATTTCACGCAACTTACAAATGCCTGCCCATCCAACAGGTCCATGACCTGAAAACCAGTTCCAGAGGTTCAACTACATGATCTACAGGCACCCACAGCGCACCTCTGTCTCCCACAGGTTCAGTAGCATCTCCGTCGACGCAACGGCGCCCGGCGCCAACACAGCCGTCTTCTTAAACGCCTGCTTCTTCCTGAATGTCAAGGCATCGAAGCTGGTCTCGAGGACGACATTAAGGCTATTCGAGTCCTCGAGGGAAGCCTCCATCTTTGTGACCACATTCTCCAACTCATCGATCAGCTTTCCCCAAGCGCCGGCGGTCAAGCCCTTCCCTTTCACGACGGGCAGGGATCCCGCGATGGCGAGCACCAACGGGAGACGTCCACAAAGCGTAACAACCTAAAAATAGAAAAAAAAAGTCAACAAACTCGGAGAATATATTTCTATGAGATACATAGAACCTCCCACACTATTTACTCAATGTGACAGTAAAGGAATGTCACATCCTCCAACCCCATGTGTGACGAATGTGTGTTCACCCAGCATCAAGCTCCCATCCATGTCATGCTTAAAACGAGAGAGCAAACCACCGACTAAAAACCATGCCCCGATATACCACCTCGACGAAAGGATTCAATGTGCATCACCTTAGTCATCACCGTCCGGACAGAGTCCCCAGGTCGTCCCACAGTCCCGCTCGTCTTCAGCAGCAGCTCGAGCGCCTCTTCCTCCGTCATGTCTCCCAGCTCCAAGCATCTCGTCGGCACGCCAACAACCGATCGATCACGTGTGGTCACCAGCACCTTGAATCCCAGAGGAAGAAGAGCGTCCACAACCTCGCGCTCCCACACGTCATCCAGCACCACCAGGCGTGGGGAGGTGCCCGTGGATGCCACTGCACCCAAGTGCCGCTGCACCTGCTCCAGGCTGTCCAGGACGTGCGGCACCCCGTGCGGAGTATCCGTCGGTGCTGCGCCCATATCCCCGGTCAGGCCCTGGAGGAGAGGCAGAAGGCGTTTCTTTGCACCCCTCCCCACCGTCAGCCAGAAAATACCCCCACGGAAGTGCTCCCTCACGCTCGACTTGCGCACGACAGCAGAGGCCAACACGCTCTTCCCCCCTCCACCCATGCCGAAAACCGTGTAGGGGGCACGGGGCTCCTCTGGGTTGGTGATACCGTCAGCAACTTTTCGTACGGCAGCGCGCTCCACGTACAAGCTGTCGGACAAGGCAACCGCTTCTGCGGGAACCTTAGCCATGTCCGGTAAGCTTGGAGGCAACACTGTACCGGTGGCCCCTTTGGCCGAAATCGCATCCAAAACTCGACGGACATCCCCGTCGATCCCCTGCAGCTGCTTCTCGAGCTCCTTGTGGCGAGAGCACCGGGTGATTGATTTGCACAACCGCTTACAACACGAATCTGTCGGCGACGCCGTGTGATCTTGCACCAGCGTCTGGATGCGGATAGCTAGGTTTTCCAACTGGCCGAGCTCGCGGCTAATACCGATGCGGTTCACCTGCCGGGGGTCGCGCTGGAGTTGCTCAAGTACGGATGCGGTACCCGCGAGACGGTCTTGAATTGTTGTCGGGAAGTTGTGAGCGCTCTCCACCGCCTCGCGCGCTCTTCCCAGCGCACCGAGGACTGATACCACGTGCTCAGCCATCTGGAGGAAAACAAAGGATGGGGGCACGGGTCGTTGACCGAGTTCACGTGCTGTTGTTTTTCGTTTCGGAACGTTTTGACGAGAAACAAACCGCGTATTCCCGAGGCTGGCTGCTGGAAAGACTAGAAAAAGGGTTGCTGAGGTGCGCTTGTACGGGACGGTTATCCGCACGCTTCTCGGAACATATCGAGTTCAGGCACTGCAAGAGAATTTTACTCCCACACTAATTGTGACGGCTTTGGCGGAAAATAAAGACACAGGCACACAACCAGCTTCACACGCCACGCGGGCTCACGAGGGCTGCAGCACCAGTCGTGCCCCGAAAAATCGTCGGGGCTTCGTGCTAACGACAGCTACTCGACTGCAAGGCCGGATACCTACAAGTGTGGTAAAAGGACGTTCGGAGGGTTTCAACATTCATACCTAATCGGGCGCTCGTTTCCCAGGCACGATGAGCTTGCGGTGGTGCTGGACACTGTCGTTCTTGAGTGCACTACGCGCCCTGGCTCATCCTTGTGGCTGCCTCTGCGGTTCGTTTACGGGACATTGAACGGGGAGTTCACACGCGGACGATGATGAGAAAAGAGTGACGAATGTGTACACAACAGCAGTAGCAGTGGACGCAGCGAACAAAAACTGCTTCAACCCAGCTGTGAACAGCATCAAAGGTCCCCACGGGTCTTATGCTGCAGGTCATCATGCTTGAACGATGATACTAACCACCCTTCGTGGCTTACTCTGCACGATGGTAAGGTATGCTGCAAAGAGGAGAGACTCGTCTCGACTTGCAGCACATCCCGAGCGGCCAAAACGCAAGTTTCGGTGCCAAGCAATGAAAGGGGTGCGCGGAACGCCAAACTACAGCGAAAAATAAACAGCAAAGGTGAAACGGCATACAAATCCAGCTTGTCATGCCACGAGGAGACCATCTAAGGGGAAGCAAAATGCCTGTCTCGCGAACTCGTCCGCTGTGCGCCAGTGCACACGAGAAATGCGTGACCCCCGACATAGGCTTCTGGAAAGTACCGTCTGGAAAGACCGCAAACTTGGTGGGACATTTTGTCCGCACTCCCTCACCTGATAGCACGCTCGACATGCAGGTGCAGGAACGATAGATGCGTGTGAGCGCTGAGACCCGTCGTTCTAGGGGACAAAGCGCACGCTGACTGCTGGTGTTGATTGCCTGTGCCGCCCACACGTTTTGCAGCCCATGGAAAAAAAAACATTTTTTTGTTATACAATCTAAATATAATCATGGAATTTACATCCCGGGAGGTTACGCCGCGAGGAAATCTCGTTCGTTCTGCTCCACCTCTCGTAATAGGGTCGATCCAAAATAGTGCAAAGCATCGAATCGTTCCTCACCGACAGGGCTACCTACCCTGAGATTCTCGCGCAATTTAATGCACTCTACGAACGTGAACCTTTGGCTCGAAGTTGAAAAGTGTGCTTCCAGGATTTCAATTACGGCTGAAATCTGAATTCGTGCGGTGGGGTGGTCGTTGTGACTGCTGTGTTCCACGGCGCCGGTACACGAGGGTCAACGCTCCACTGGCACACAGCACACAACACAAGCCTGGAGGTGGCAGGAAGCTGGCCAGCGGGTCACGTAGGTGGGTGAAAGCAAATATTCGTTTGAGCAGGACACCCTGTAGCGCTTGTGCAGCAGCGGAACAACTCGAATTTTGGATCCAATTCCCACACAGCAGCAGTAGATGCGATGCCAGGTACCCTGCAATACATGAGAGGCATGACGTCTCGTGTATGCTTTCCCGCGTGAACTATAGCCCTCTATATAGGAGAGGATATTGCGCACATGTTTGGTGCGGTATGCATACGCTTACGTCCCGCACATGCGATGGTCGCAAGACACCACCCCCCCAGCGTACCAAGGGGAAGGAGGGAGTCTGGTTTATTTTCTTTTCCGTTTGGATAACAAACCGCGTCTCGGAGACGTTTCTGAGGTCAACTTGACAAGAAGGTACAGGAGTCCTCCAAACTGTTCAGAATACGATGTGTAGGTCTGCTCGCCACATAAGTGATCATGCGAAACACAACACGAAAGATAGTTTAGATTATTGGTGATTGGTTTGTGGGAGAAGATGTAGCCTTAACAACATGTTGGCGGTGATAGATGGGGAGCCAAGGGACGAACAAACGTAGGCGTCAAAGGCAACTGCTGAAATCCCGGAGACTGGTGGAGACCTCGAAGAAGATGTTCGTTCCTGGCCTTTGCTCGTGGAGAGACGTGTAGTCTACAAGGCGTTTCCGAATCGCGGGCAGGGAGACTGTGGGCCCTTGTCGGTGATATTTCTCGCCTTACACAGAGAGAGGTGGAATGGATGCCCACACAGCGCAATGTGTGCTGTCGACACAAAGTAAGGAATTGGCGGACTTCATCCTCCTTTGTCGGGAGCTCATCGTAGAGTACCAAGCAGCTACAGGAGAGGGGGGGGGGGGCTTCTTCGTAAGCCAAAGCGACTCGGACAAACCGGATGCGGACATCAAGAGCATGGTTGAACGCTGTACATTCCTATTAATTAGGGACTCGACATTGTCGTCAACTATCTACAGGCAATAAATACCCTCCGAGTCAGTTGGACCAGTGCGGACACCAATATTGCGGGGCCGTCGCCACGGATGGGCGATGATGGTTGAGTGAGGCGAGGTAAAATCGATTTATTTTGTTTTCCATACGTAATAACAAATAGATATGACACTCACGTGCAAAAAACACAAAAAGTGCTACATCAGGAAGGACAGCAAAAAGTGCCTCGCGCCGAACGCATGGGTCATCTTCCTTCGAACCAATAAAAACGTGTTCACTTCCATTGGAGAGGCTGCCATGACTTACCGTAAAAATTTCAAACCGGTTCTTGAAAGCTTGATCAAGGCAGGATCCAAGGACGCAAGTGCAAAACAAAAAAAGGCTCTTTTCCACAGAGCTGTATGTGAGTACTTCTACCAACAAATGAAGGCTTCGGGCAAGAACACTGCAAGCAACAAGAAAAAAGTGAGTAGCGGTGTGTCCAAAGTCCTCAAGAAAAACAGCATACCCAAAACACTCAAGATCATGGGAGCCAGGCATTCTGCAGCGGCCCTGGCTGCAAAAGAACAGGCTATGAAAAAGGCAGATGCTGACGTCGCCGCCAAAGAAAAAATCGCGGAGGACGAACGGCGCAAAGCAAAAGACATCATAAGGAGGGCAGTTGAGGCAGCTGCGCGGGCAAGGCTGCTGAAGAAAGAAGCTTCCTCTGCCAAAACTAGGGCGTCCAACGCTACATCCGTGACCAGGAGAAGCCCCTCGTCTACCGCACGTACAACGACCAAGGTTAAAGCAGCCAAGTCCGCGGCCTCGAAGAAAAAGGCGGCCTCTAACAACGCCAAGCGGAAGGCTGACACGATGCAAAGTAGTGCCGAAAAGGCCATCAAGAGGGTTAAAAGAGCGAGTCAAGCCGTCACGTCGGCCAAACAAACAGCCGACAAGGTAGCTAAAAGGAAGGTACCACGAGCTTTAGCCGCACTAGATACCACTCTCATAAATAGTGGCGTGGGTAGAAAGAGGAGGAAAAGACGTTGAGCACTCTTCTTACATCAAACCTTGAAAAAAAACTCGAAGCAGCCCCTTCCTCCCTCGTTTTCATCATAAGCTTGCTTATAAAGCAAGACTTCTTCGCGACCATACTCCGTCGTAGATCCGTCCTTGAAAACGACCTCGAACACTTCGCTTTTATCAGACGCGTGTCCCGCCTTCTCGTACCTTTGCCTCACTTTGCTACATATAAAATCGCCCTCGGCATCATCTGGGTCTGGCTTCGCCAACATCATCCCAATAGGTTTGTCCATGCACGGGGCTTCGTTGTCTTGTTCCTGGCAAGAAACAATGGACATCTCCGACACGTCGTCCGAGTGGGTTGAGCTCGAATCAGATGATGGGGAGTAATTCGATTCGGACGTCTCGGGCCCTGAAAGGTAAACTACGCGGGGTGCAGCAAGCCCGTGTTGGGCGTCTGTTGGGGCAGTGGGTAGTCGGCCGTGTTAGGCCGAGAGAGAGAGGTAGAGATTGAGATTGCGTTGGCGTTGGAGAAAGCGTTGGAGAAGGAAACTTGATTGGAGAGAGACGGCGGTAGCGGTGGAGAGAGCGAAAGCAGTGCGCTAGATGCGCGAGCCTTCAACACCGCAACCAAGGCCAAAAGGGTCCCCGTATCTGCATCGGTGGTACCCATCAACATACGAAATTCTCAACACGTATCCCCGAGGATCCTCACGTCTAGAGACTGCTGCGAGTATATCTTACATCCCCCCTGCTCGCAACAGTATCTTCACTGCAAACTACGAAACAATATCGGATATCTCAACCAAAAGACGTCTTTTCCTGAATATATGCGATCAAGATTACTTCCAAAATATATGACACGAAAACCAAGTCCAAGAAACATGAATACTGCTGCATCGCGCGTGAAAATAACTTAGCGCGGAAAGCAAAACAATCAGATCGAAAGCCAAACCAAACTCATCAGAAAAATAATAAAAACTCATGCCAAATTCATCACAAAATCACGGTGAGACTCGAACGCATCCTTGGGCAAACTTTTCGTAAGAAAGTCTGCACGCTGGTACGGAGACGGCACGTGAATCACCGAAATCTCCTTCCTCTCTACCAGTTCCCTGAGAAAATGGTGCCTTACATCTATGTGCTTCGAGTTCGAGTTTGAGATGGGGTTCTGCGCTAGTTGAATCGCCCCCTGGTTGTCCTCGAAGACGGGGATGCACGGCATGCCGACCTGCGGCAACATGAAACGCCAAATCTGCCTCAAAAACAAAATCTCCTTCACTACGTCGCCTAGCGCGACGTACTCTGCTTCTGTCGTCGAAAGCGTGACGCATTTTTGCGTTCTGGAAAACCAAGACACAGCGCCTCCTCCACACGTCACGATCCCCCCTGATACCGACCTACGGTCTGCTGCCTTGCTTGCAAAGTCCGCATCAGCGTATCCCTG